GGGGGGGGGGGGGGGGGGGGGGGGGGGGGAGGCAGACATGCCATTCTGTGGTTCTCGCATGCCATTCCGATCCTCTCTTACACTCCATTCCAGCTGTCTATTATTTGTTGGGAGGTTTTTTACGCTTCTATTAGGGAGCGTTCCCGTAATTGAGCCTTCCTGTCATAGAGCCTTCCTGTCATTGGTAATTAAGTATTGAGTTTCCAACTACATTTAAAAAAAATTATTAAATGTAATTCCGCTGATGAAATTTCCTCAAAACCAATTCTTGAATTCAAACCGTGCAAACTTGCATATAAAATCAGTCTCTACTGAAATTCGCGAGATGAATGAAGTGATTAGAAAAACTGACCTCCTTCGTCCTCCGATCGAAGTCGCGAAACCCTGTCGATGCAGCGAAGAAATCCCTGTCGATGCAGCGAAGAAATCCCTGTCGATTCAGCGAAGAAATCCCTGTCGATGCAGCGAAGAAATCCCTGTCGGCATCGGTCGATTCGCCTGAATAAGGACCTCGAATGACAGTTGGCAGATTTGATTTTAGGTCTTCGCTCTGGAAATCAATAAGCCTATCAATAAATGATCAAAATAATCCGTTAAATATAACTTAATTAGCAGAAGGAAAACAATCTGCAACCGGGTTGTAGGCTTCCAAAAACAGTTTCTGACCGGTGTACAGGCTCAATAACAGCAAAATTATTCCCGACCGGTTTGCAGGCTCAATAAAAAAAAATTGTTCCCGACCGGTTTGCAGGCTTCCTCCGCCCCGGCGTCCGCAAGAAGACCCTGGGAAACTTCGGCCTGCTGGACATCGTGGCGGCGCTGCAGTGGGTGCAGGAGAACATCGAGGCCTTCCACGGCGACCCGGGCAACGTGACCCTCATGGGTCACGGGACAGGGGCCGCCTGCGTCAACCTGCTCATGACATCGCCCATCGCTCACGGTAACAGTGCGTGTTCCGTTTCACCCCCACACCCTAAGTATATGGCTGAATATTTTTTTCAAATATATGTTTTGGTTGAATTACATTTTTTATTTGGGCCATTCAATGCCAAATGACCGAATGATAACGCTCGACCGCCACGTGTGCCCCGAGGGCGAATTCCATAGCTCTCAAACCACACCAGATAAAATGCATGTAATGGCTCACATGAAATGTCTGAAATAGTAGAATCCAATTATAACCACGAAAAAAGGATATTTGTGAAATCCAAATTAAATGTATTTTTCAATATGTACAATTTTTTTTTAGACTTTCACCACCCCATTATCTTCCTTGGAAGTCGGCATAGCAAAACCAAAATTGCAGTGATAAGGGTTCACCTCTGGTTCAGTACTGAGATATAAGTATTAATTGGTTCTTTCAATTTCCACATGTCAAAAAGGAAAGTCGAAAATCTCATTTTTGGCGATTTTAGCGAACTTTGACCTTAATTTTTTATGATGTGGGGGTCTTGACAAAAAAGTATCATATTTTATATGAAAGAGCTTTGCAAGATCTATTCGACGATAAGAGTTTCGTCCCGTTACAGTCACGTACCGAAATGTTACAATTTTTCCAATGTTGGTCCGTTGTGGCCTTGGCTCTGTTCAACATGGCCTCCTATGAAAACTTGTTCAACTGCCTAATTTACATGATTTTAATTATTTATGAGCATTATTTTTCCCTACAAAAGTAAGGTTGCAGGGGGGCTTATTGCACCCTGGCAAATTGGAAATTGAAGAAATTGAAAGAACTTAATAATACTTATATATCTCAGTACTGAACCAGAGGTGAACTCTTAGCACTGCAATTTTGGTTTTGCTATGTTGACTTCCAGGAAAGATAATGGCTTGGTGAAAGTCTGAAAAAATTTTACATATTGAAAGATACATGTAATTTGGATTTCACAAAATATTCTATTTTCGTGGTTATAATTGGATTCTACCATTTCAGACATTTCATGTGAGCCATTACGTGCATTTCTATCTGGCGTGGTTTGAGAGCTATGGAATTCGCCCTCGCGGTCACACGTGCCTGAAAACCGATATTTTCCAAAATTGATATCACCTTTACCAACGGAAAGAAAAAGAAAATATTTCGGATTTTGGAGTTTCATGTAAGACCTGCTAACTCTAAAATTTTTATTTATTTATTTTGAGGTGGTCGAGCGTCAGCTGGCGTGGAATGGCTCATACGAACTAAAAAAAAATTTAAGAATGAGTATTATTTGCTTTTAGCGTCCTCTGGTACTGATAAGATAATTTTTTGCGAGATTCTCACAACAGATTGCATAACGCTGTAAGTAGATTGCTTTTTGCTAATATCGTTGGAAAGGTGATGCGAGCTGCTGCAAATCCTGAGTTTGCGATTTAATTTTTGCAAGAATTGGCATGAACTCTCAGGATTTTCTGCACTCCGCACTTTCTTTCCGCAGATTTTTCAGTGCACGACTGACTTATTTTAGTTGGCGGTAGTACCAAGTTCAAATTTTCTCTCATCCAAAAATTAATAATGTTTTCTTATTGGCAATGCATGAAAAGGATGGCCAAAGCAGCAAAAATTGAAACCAAAGAGAAACAGAGCAGAAATGAAACAAAGGAAGAACAAAGGTTTCAAAGAAAAATGGCACTCAAAATGACAAGGAAAAAAGTTGGCACGCCGTCTCGTTCCTTGTTGCTTTTGTGGGCCTTGCAATCCCGAGCGGCGTCTTGGACGGCTTCCGTGCCAAATTATTTGCATAGACGAAGACCGTTAACCCCATCGCGCTTTGCCAGACGCATATGTCTCAACTGCGCAGAATTGGTGCGAGTTTGTGCGAAAAAGATTTTCGCAAGAGAGAAAAATCAGCAACTTCCGAGAGAGTTCTTATTTGCAACCAATTGGGGAATTCGTGCCGATTAGACGCATAAATTTGCGCTGGCAATTAACGTCGTCGCGGAAACGAGTCTCCCCCCCCCCCCCGAGAATTTGAAGATTGCAAAGAATTCGCAATTTTGCCAAGTTGCACAAATACCCGCAGCTGCTGGGGTTAGGAGTCGGGATTCCAACAAGGGGAAGAAACTCGGGGAAGGGTGCCAAACGCCATTTTCCACGGAGGCAGGGCATGCAAAAAAAAAAAAATTGGCAGTGCCAAAACTTTTTTTTTGCAATATGCAAAAATGAACTCCTTGAAGCCCTTCCCCCACCAGGGCTGTTCCAGCGAGGGATCCTCATGAGCGGGTCCGCCCTCGCCCCCTGGGCCATGGCGCACGACCCCGTCACCGTGACCCTGGACGTGACCCGTGCCCTCGGTTGCCCCCTGGAGGACGGGGGCGAGGACACCGCCGCCTGCCTCAGGTCCAGGTCGCTCGACGACCTGCTCAGCGTTCGGGTGCAGGTGCGTGACACTGCGTCTCTGCGTTGCGTCCTGCAACACTTTCAACAATTCAGAATTTTCTTTTCACCAATTTTAGCATTCGATTTTAGATAAAGCGTTGTATAAATAACTGCAAATTACGGTACAATTTTTACTGAATTCTTGGGTTCGTTGGATTGGCTGAAATCTTGGGCACTGTCTCAGATTCTCATCCAGGCATGAATGGCTAATTTTTCATGAGCAATGCTTAATCGATTTGCAGACGTTTCGGTTTCTCCGGTTTTTTCATCTTGTATTTTCTGTTTCTTCCCTTTATTTTCTTCATCTTATATTCTTCAAGTTATTCATTTCAATTTCATCTTGGATTCTTAAATATCTTCGTTTCACTTCATTTATCTTGGATTCTTAAATATCTTCGTTTCAGTTCATTTATCTTGGATTCTTAAAAATATCTTCATTTCAGTTAATTGATTCCCGATTCGGGTTTTCCAGGGCACCCGGCACACGACGACCTTCGGCCCGATCGTGGACGAGATCGTGATCATGTCGGAGCCCCGGCGGAACCTGGAGATCTACGGCGACCTGTTCGCGCGCCACCACCTCCTCCAGGGGGTGGTGGCGGCGGAGAGCTACCACCTCTTCAGCGCCCGGCAGCTCCAGTTCGGGCTGCAGGAGAGGCAGAGGGAGCAGATGATCGGCAGCTTCCTGCAGAATAATTACCCGCTCAGGCCCAAGGAGATTTTTGCAGGTGAGGAACCGAAGCCATTAAAATAGTTATTCTTAATTAATGCATTCGATTTGCGTTAATTAGAGGGGTAAATTATTTAGAACATATATCATCTGCAGAATTGTTGAGTAAAAAAAAATTGCATTTCCATTTATTTCTTCCCACCCCTTTGGGAAAAACGCGAAATGTTTGTCTCCCTCCCTATTTTACGAAATGCATCTGCGCGCTATAAATTCCCCCTCTCGGCGATGGAGCTTCCACTCGAAATTGCAAAATATGGCATAATAAATTTGCAAATGAGCACTAGCAGAAGTGGAACTGCGTTAACGTGTTAAGGCGATGTCGTGTGAGCACATGGTTTGACGTATGTTAACGTCGAGCACGGCGAAGCTACGCTAACGAAGTTCTCGACGTAGGTTAACGTATCATCTCCAATTTTAGCCCGTGCAAACATATTTTGCATTTTTGGGCGGGTCTTGGCAAACACGATGACGTCGTCTACGCGCCGGGAGAACCCCCGATCCCCATCCTTCCATGCACCCATTCACCCCTACCCTCCTGCGAACCCACCCTCCCTCCGCGCCACGATGCACCTATACATGCACCTATTCCTGCACCTATTCATGCATATATATCATGCCCGTTCATGCTAAGGGTCTGCGTTTTCAGTACCGACTACACATGTTTACCTGCTTCGGTGAATGAAAATTACTGAAACTTCCAGTAACAGCGCTTCCTTCCCGGCTCCACCCCACTTCTTCCCGTTCTCCATCACAATACACAACCAGAACGCTACGCCCTCATTCTCCCCCTCTCCACCAAAGGGCTCCTCTCCCACCAGCCACCTCTACCATAAGAACCCGTCGTCCACCATCCGCTCTACACCCTCCACGACTCCCACGCCCATCCTCAACGCCATCTCCACGAACCTCCAACACTTTAAACTCCCACACCCCCGACCTCCCCACCCGACCCTGATCGCTCTCTCCTCCCTTCCCCCAGCCGTGATGGTGGAATACACCGACTGGAACGAGCCGGGCTCCGACACCGGCGGCGGGATGCGGGAGAAGGCCATGGACATCTTCTCCGACGCCCTCTACGTCGCCCCCCAGGTCCGGCTGGCCGACCTCCACTCCGCCGTGCAGCTCCAGAGCTACTTCTACGTCTTCACGCATCAGTCCCGCGAAGGGCTCTATCCCGATGTGAGACCCTCAAATGTATTTTGTAAATGTTTTTTCGCACACCCAAGAAGGGGGATCTAATCGATCCGAGCGACACCTTGCATAGTTTGTCCAGAGCTATAGCTTAGTGTCGATCCCAGTGGCGACGATAGTGACATCTATGCTATGAAATATAAAACGTTAATTCTTGTTTCTACCAGTATGACCGTGGATTTAAACCTTGGATTTAAAGCCGAGGGTCCAGAAAAACAATCCATAAACCCTGCAATCTCGTATGCGCCCTTCATCAATAATAATTATTATTCATTATATATATAATACGCATATTAATTACCAATTAATATGCATATTTTCCACCAGGCTTACGGCTGCATCCACGGGCAAGAGCTGCCTTACGTGTTCGGCGCCCCCCTGGTCGGAGGACTGGGACCATTCCATTCCAACTTCACGGCCACGGAGATCCTTCTCTCCGAACTCGTCATGACTTATTGGTCCAATTTCATCCACAGCGGGTGAGTGGGGGAGGGGGAGGGGGGGGGAGGGGGGGGGGGCGGATTGGAATTCGGTGGGATGAACCCGTTTGTGCACGAGTGGAATCTCACTTGTCGCTTCTCAAAGTTGGGGCTAGGATCTGAAAAATTGTTCAATATAATAAATATAATATAATATATAGGGTACCTTTAATGTCTATAAGTACTGATGCATAATCGCCTTTAAATCGCCCGTTTAATTGCCTTATAATCGCCCGTTACTGGAAACTATTTAAATTTCCTATTTTGGGTCCTTTACTTTACTTTTACTTCATTTAGTATTTTATGCATCAAGCGAGACCCGAAGAGAGGAAAACCCGGACTCGAAAAGGCAGGAGTGTGCAAAAATTTGAACGATTCCGCGTTTCGCGATACGGTCGGTCTTGCACGGATCCCCGCTCGGATCGCGAGAGGCTTGCACGAACTCCCCGTCGGTCTCGGTCCGTGCAGGCGGGATCTCCCTCCCCTTTTTCCTCTGCGAATTTATTCCGAGTTAAAGGAAAATAAGCGAAGGTCATCAATCATTTATTTTCTCAGTTTCTCGAGTGGAATTCTCACAATGCTGCTTTTGTGCCAAATTTTGTGCCAAATTTTGTGCCAAATTTTGTGCCAAATTTTGTGCCAAATTTTGTGCCAAATTTTGTGCCAAATCCTGGATTTGCTTGTTTGAAAGGGACCCGAACGTGCCCCTGAGGCAATTTTCGACGACCGGCGCGGGTCGCCGCCTCCACGCCGACGAGACGATCTGGCCGCCGTACGAGTCGCTCACGCAGCGGTACATGAGCCTCGGTGAGTCGCGATGAGGGTGTTTCGTGAGTGGGGTGAGCGAGTCGGCTCACGCGTGATTCTGTTTCGCAGGTCTTCGCCCGAACGTGAGGTCGCGTTACCGCGCGGACAAGGTCGCGGTCTGGAACGTTCTCCTGCCGGAACTGCTCCGAATGGGCGTGGACACGGCGGCGGTGGGCTCCTTCTACCCGAGTCAGGAGCCTCCGGTAGGGTGGCCCAGGTCCACCACTCGTCCGCCCTACTGGGTGACCGGGCAGCATCCGGTCGCCCAGGATCGAGTCGACGACACGCCGCAGGGAAACCGGTCCGTGTCGACCCTGGCGGCCGGATTCCGCGTCGGCGGGAACGGCATCGCCCTCAGCATCGTCCTCGTCGTCGGCCTCAGCATGCTCTGCCTCAACCTCTGCATCTTCGCCGGGATCTACTACCAAAGGGACCAGTTGCGGCAGAAGGCCCTGCTGCTCAAGAGGCACTACGTCCTCAAGACGGAGACGGACCTCGAGGCCGAGCGAGAACTGGACAAGATCCTGGAGCTGGACAAGAGGAAGAAGCGGAAGAAGCATCCCGTGAAAGAGACCCGAATCGACGAATGCCTCCAGACGTCCGACCCCGAATCCCCGGACGAATCCCCGGTGGATCCCGCCCCGACGACGCCTCGCAAGACTCCGACCGGCGCCCACCGGAGCCCCCCTCCGGACGAACGCGAGGAGCCCCCCCCGCCCCCCGGCCCCCCTCCGGACAAACCCCCTCGGCAGGCAGAGACCCAAGCCCAGATCGAGAACCAAGTGTACGCGACGGTTCACCCCAGACGCTCCCGCAAGGCCCGATCGGAGGCCCCAGCCGACCGATACGCCACCATCTCCGGCATCTCCACCCCCGGCGACAAGGTGCACGTCAGCAGCAGCACCCTCACCCTCCGCGTCACCGACCAGGGCATCGTCAAGGCGAAACCCAAAGCGGAGAGCATCCAAGCCAAGTCCGTCCCCAACATCCTCCAGCAACCTGGAGACCCGAGTCGTCCGGACGCCACAGACCCGAAGCTCAAGCCCTTCCCCAACGTCGTCCAGCAACCTCGACGACCGGGAACCTCCACCCTCGACCACCCCAAGCCCAAGATACTCCCGAGGCAGGAAGAGCTACCCGACTACCACCGACCTCCATCCCTTCAGGCCGGACCCCGCAGCGTCACCGACCCCACTCCCCCGCCCCTCATGTTCCGCCTGCAGAAGTCAAGCTCCGCCAGCGCCGCCACTCCCCGCCGGGACCACGGCATCCTCAAGGACCACTCCAAGTACGACTCCGCCGACATCCCCAAGAGCGTCCGGCTCCCCAAGCAGAAACGCAAGTCCACTCCCGTCCGACTGCCGCAACTCCCGAGCACCGAGTCCAGCGACACCATCAACAGCAGCCAGAGTTCCTTCAACGTCCTCGCGCCTGCCAATAAATTCTTTCGCAAAAAGTTGCCCAAGACGACCGAGAACGTGCCATCCTGATGGAAACTGCAAAAAAACGTGTCGGTTTTGTGTGCATCGTTTTAGACATATCGGCGGATCAGCTGATCGCTTTTCTCATTTTCGTTCTTGCACCGACTTTATTTTATTAGGAAATAAAAAGGAAAGCACTTGTTCGGAGTGATGAGACGGAAAGATTTGTGCAAAAAATTCGCTAAATTCAAACAAATTGCTGAAAAAAAAAATCTAAAGGCGAGGAAGAAACTTGGACTTGCCCCACATGCTTCAATTTCTTTCACGGAGCGACATCTCACGGAGAAGAGAGATCTGTGAGAGAATTTTCAATTTCCGTATCCGCTATCGGTGCAAAATGCCGAATGCCAAAACACTTCGTTCATGCCAAAAAAAAAGCTTCCATTCATGCCAGAAAACTTCCGTTCGTGCGCAAAAAAATTCCGTAAAATTCTGCAATTGCGATGAAATACTCGTCGTAGTTGGCGGGCTGACTTTCGCCCTGCAGTTTCCGGATACTGCATGGTACTTATTTGCACAAGATAGGAAGATTTGCACTTCAAAGAATCATGCCAAAAACCCCGTGGCGAACAGGGGAATGGTGACCAGTGACGTCATAGCGGTCAATCCTGAACTCTAAAATGAGTACATTTTGGCACATTTTGGCACATTTTGCCCTTCCCCTTATGAATGCAAAGTTTTTTGCACTCACCAGGGACAACTTGCCAAAACCGGGGATTCGCACGCCATTTATCTCCAATTGCGAAAACATTTCTATTTCTGTGTGCAAGCAATAGGACCAGCTTCACTTCAAGGACTCCAAGGACTTCAAGGACTCCAAGGACTTCAAGGACTTCAAGGACTTCATTTGGTAGTTTTTCACTTTCTGCATAGATTTGACCAACTCCATGGAGGCCTCGCAAATGTTCACTATATTTTAAAAATATTTTGCAGTATTTTATTTTATTTGTCACTTTCGTATCCGTTGCAAAATTCAGTTCTTGGCAAAAGGAAGGGAAACGGTACGGCGAAAAAAAATGTTTTTCCCATGATGAAGCGCAAATCCTCAGTTGCTCAAAAGTGCATCAGCAGATTTGCCGCGAAGTGCCACTTTTTGCGAGTGCCACCTTTTTTTTGCAAGCGTTGTATGTTTGAAACTTCGTCTTGAATTACTAGGAAAGGCAAATTTTATTTAAATTCATTCTTTGCATCGGAATGGCATCCGGCCTGCTGGAGGGCTATCCACCCATCATCTACCTGTCATCCACCTGTCATCCACCTGTCATCTACCCGTCATTCACCTGTCATCCACCTGTCATCCACCTGTCATCCACCTGCCATCCACCTGTCATCCCCCTGCCGTTCAAACCCGGCGGACATTTTTATAGTACAATCACGATATACGCGATAGAAAGAGCAAGGACTTTCAACCTGCATCTCTTCCTCCCCAAAAGAGTTCCCTTCGCGAAACTTTCCCCTCGCACGCACGAGCATGCCTCCTGCCCTCCTCCTTCGCCTTCGGCTCCGCTGCCACCTGGAACTCTTTTCTTTTCGATATTTGCTGATGGAATTTCTTCGGTGAGAAAAATTTAATGGGTGAATTTTGAGGCTCATTTATGCGATGAGAAAATTTCGCGAGAAGAGCTCTTTTGGGAGGGAAGCCGCTATATTTTGAAAGACTTTTTTTTTGCCATACCCTGTATATGGATTTTTTTCTGGATGTCCGTCGCGTTCAAAACGTATCGACACGAGATAGAGCCTTTCTCGAAGCGACACGTGGATCCACCCGGCGCAGGCAATATTGCGTAACGTGCAATATTGTACGTTCCCATCTCGACTCGACCCGCAATCGTTCACCGTGGGAACCCGCGCAGCCGACCGAGACGAGATACTCGGGGACGGGGCAACAGTTGCCATCCATCTCGACAGTTGCTATCCATCTCGACAGTTGCTATCCATTTCGACAGTTCCTATCCATTTCGACAGTTCCTATCCATTTCGACAGTTGCTGCTTTTTGCGTGAAATGCGACGGTGCGTGGGGCTCGCGTTCTTCTCGGCCCTCGTCGGCTTCATCGCCGCTGGGTCGACTCGGGTCGTCGCTGAAACGTGGGAGGAGATCGGGGACGGGGTCGGCTACCGCTCACTTGGCACCGGCCGTCAGTTACATTTTTCATTCACATTTTTCATTCACATTTTTCATTCACATTTTTCATTCACATTTTTCATTCACATTCTTTTGACATATTCTTCCTGATGCGGGTGAACACGCGCAGAGAGCGTGGTTATCGCGTACGGCGGATACGGCGTGACGGACGCGCTGAGCCGCCACTGGCTGGACCGGCTGCTGAGCAAGTCTTCCCTCGCGTCCGAGTCGGGCGTGGGGCACGCCTACGCCGTGCGGGGACCCGACCATCCATCGTATCCGAATCTGGAGATCGAGAATTCGGCTCTCGTCCGGTTCGGCTATTTTTTTTTCGTGGGTCAGCGGATGGAGGATAATTAGTTATGAGTGTCATGGAGGGGTTCAATATTAATTAATACTAGTTTAATAGTTTAATATTAATTAATATTTCTGCGTTGGAGACTCCGAAGAATGAATGCTCTAAAATGTCACGCGTAGTCAGCGCTTCAGCGACGAAACATGTCAGCCGGCGGCACGTTTCGATCGACCGAAAATCGGCCTCGACCTCCTAGCGACCTGCTGTCGCGACCCCAGGGCGACCTGATCGCGGTGATCGCCCACTCGAGCGGGGCCTACGTGGCGAACGAGTTGTTCCGGATGCTCTACGACTGGGGCGGGGACGAGGACGGGTCGACCCGGGGCAAGGTCGTCTACTTGAACCTCGACGGGGACGGGGGCATCGGGGACGCCACGGTCCAGAGCCTCGGGGGACTCTATTGGGTCTGGGCCGAGAAGGGATCCATGGAGTCCATGAATGCGGGTCCGTCTTTCCATTTTTATCTCGGTATTTTTTTTTTTGGTTTCGGTGTGAAATTCGGCACGGAATATCGATATCAAATGTATTGCTAAGTTAATGCAACATACTTCATTTTTCACCGAGCATTAGCGAGAAACAGTACTTTTTTCTAATGATGCTGGTACTAGTGCAGTACGTGAGACCCAATGAAGCCACATCGGCGATACCAGAATGAGTTACGCCCCGAGCATACCAGACTAGTTGCAATAACGCTTCATTACTGCAGCTTGCTCCGCTATTTACATGGGAAAGCTGTAGTACTGTCAGTACCATGAATGCAGTACTTGAGACTTGGAAAAGGCACACAACAGAAGCAAGACATGATGTTAGGATTCAATTTATCGACTACATAGTTTCTCGCTTCAGGTTGCCTTGCGTGTTGCCATCCAAGTTGCTTTTTTTTCTGCAAAAGAGCGAGACCGCTTTGCTACAATTTCCGTGCTGGAAGACTGTACTTGGATGTACTTGGACTGTACTTGGACTGTACTTGGACTGTACTTGGAAGACTGTACTTTGGCTCGGTATTTACGGGACGAGCGCAATCGAGCTTCGCCTGTCGCTGCAGAGATCCCAAGCCGTATCTTTTCAGCTGTAATCCGATTTGGGAAATGGAGAGATTCCGGAAGTTCCATTCGGGAAGGGATTGCTAATTCACGGTCTGCAAAAAAAAAATTGCAATACCGAAGAGTGGAAGAACGTCGAAGGAAATCGAATAAGAATAATCGATATCGACCGTGTCGATTAAGGTTAATTTGATTAACGTGAAGAGAGTCGGTAGCAACCGATCTCGCTAAATTCTCGCAATTTTCCTTGCCAAAATGGATTTGCAGGAACGATGCAGTACTACGCCGGCCTGTACGGCTCGGGCTTCGCGGTGGACGCGGAGGCCAGCGGCTGCCTCAACGCCTACTGCCTCCACGACGCCGTCATCAACGACCATCCGTGGGACCCGGAGGGTTTCGACGTCGAGAGGGACTATGGGCTCTTCGCGGAGGGGGAGCACGAGGTGCAGATGCAGTACTTGCAGGTACTTCGGTCCGAGGCTGCCGAGTCTGCTGATGTGTAATAAATTGTCTCTCCTTGCCGTGCCTTTTTTTTTAAAGGATTCCTCGAACGGACGCGGGTTTCTAATCCATGACAAGCCATTACACAAATGGATGATGCCAGTGCGTAATGGATAGGCAAACATAGATGTGCCTGCATCGAGTGGAAACGAGTTAATGCAAAGGCATACGCTACGTTTTATTTTTATTCGCTAGACTCTGGTAATGGTGGGGAATTTATTACAAATATTAATAATTTCAGAGTAACATTTTAAGTGCGAAGAAAGAGTAAGCGGGAAGAGTTCCAGAACTAAACCGACACAGGCCGCTCCAGAATCTCGCGATGAAATCTCCATTGGAGAAATCCGAGACGCTGGAGGTGGCACAGCGAGGAATGTCGGAGTGACGACTTCCAGAAGGGATGCGATTGATGGGAGGGAGATCTGCAGAGACGAACCCTCTCGGCTGGAATGGATGCAGCTGAGTGACGAGATGCCTGCACGTGACATTGAGTCGACTTGGAACGTCGAATCGGCTTCCGGACGTCGAATCGGCTTCCGGACGTCGAATCGGCTTCCGGACGTCGAATCGGCTTCCGGATGTTGAATCAGCATTCGATGAATTCAGTGTCACGTGCAACCCTTACGGAAAAATCTTTTAGGGTCCATTGAGATTTTTGAAGCATAAAAATCTCATAGGATTCTCATAGGATTCCGATTGGATTCCAATAGGATCCTATAATAATCTTAAAGAATCCTATCGAATCCAATAGGAACCCTATAGGAATCGTATTGAAATCCTATGTGATTTTTACGTTTAAAAAATCTCATAGGATCCCGTAGGATCTTTTCGTACGGGTAATGGGGAAGCAACGTTGAAACTGGTCGGGAGATGCGCTTTTCTTGACTAGTTCGTCCAAGAGGTTCATCGAAGTCCGTGCGAAGTTTCAATTGGATGAAGAACGGTTGAATTTATTTCCCTCGTTAACAGGTTTCTTTTTGCCGACGTCGTGGACGGTGGCTCTTCAAATCTCATAGCGAGTTACAAATGAACGCTATTCATGAGGGAATCGTTGCGTGGGAAGCGAATCCTTACCCGGTCGCCTCGATCAGCGAGGATGGCCGACGATGATGGCCGACCGTTATGGCCGACTGTTATGGCCGACGATTTTCCACAGATCGAAACGTTTCGGTCGATTGCATTTGCATTGTGTGAAATCGAGCCGAAGGAAATTGATGACTTGAGACATCTGGTTGGAACCCTCATGACTCTTATATGACACCAGAACCTTTACGACTCTTACATGACACCAGAACCTTTACGACTCTTATATTATGCCTCTAACCCCAGGCGCATCATATCACCACCTGCGACGTTTCCATGGCACAATTTCGAACGAAACACATTCATGGCGGAAGATGTAGTCTCAATGAGTCGTCCATGCAAAGGTTCTGAACCCAGAAATTAAACCGGATAATAAATCGCGCTGGGAAGTTGAGCCTCCTGGAAATTTTCTCGGCGGCCAGTGCTTCCAGCCCTTGTAATTCCTCTAGAAGTGGGATTTGTGGGATTTGTGGGATTTGTGGGATTTGTGGGATTCCACTCTGTCCGCGGGAGGCACCGCAGCGGGCCGACGCGGATGGCTGAGCCTTGGAAATACAATTTTTTGAGGCCGGGAACTGCATCCTTGAGAGAGGTTTAACCTAAAACCGTTGGGAGTCCGCGCGAGACAAATATTTTCGTAACCTCCTCGCGCATTATCTCTGACCGTGAAAGTCTACAGAATTACTTGTGATGGGAAAATCTCCCAAAGGAAGGGGCCGTCAGATTATGCCTCTTCAGATATTCACGGGCTCCAGACCTTCACGGGCTCCAGACATTCATGGGCTCCAGACATTCATGGGCTCCAGACATTCATGGGCTCCAGACATTTACATTATTTAGGCGGACGGGAAGATTTTGTTCGGTTGGAGCTTTCGTCATCTCTCCTTAATGATTTCAAGAATGTACCTTATTTTATTATTCATGAATGACGTCAATCATACTCTCAGCGAATAATTGAATCTTCTATCATCGTAGACTAGATAGCTTTTATCGATTTTGATGGAGCAGGAATTTCCTAATGGCCCTCACAGAGGAAGATGCCTTCCGTGGAGCACTCAACGAGAAAGCAAATCACATTCCCATCGATTATTTGACGGAGTGCCGCCACGACGCATGTCCCGGATGGGAAAATGAGGGAAATGTTGGAGGCGTTCGTCTCGGTTTGTTCGTCCGAGCAATGCATTTTGTCGTTTCGATCCCTGTCCCCTGGAATTTGACGAATTCGGTGCGAAGAGAGTTCTGAACAGTTTCACACGCAATACTAGCTGGTAATTTCACAATGATTCCAATGAAATTGGTAACTAATTGGTGAATTTCTTTCCCGGGGGGGGGGGAATTTTCGATTTCTGAGGAAATCAAGGGGTATTCTTTGCTTTTTCTTGGTCGATATTTAAATATAAAAAAAAACGGTGGCAATCGACTTGATTCGTCGATTGCCGGGTTATAAGGATGCAGAGGCAAGAATATCTATAATATAGATAAATAATAATAAAATAGAGACCTTCCCGGTTTTCCACTTCAAAGTACTCCACCTGATTCGAGATGCTTGATCCGTCTATTTATTTATTTTTATTTATTTTTTTATTTTTGGAAATTAATCCATTCAAGTCGCGACGCCATTTTGTCTCAAGAGATTTACTTGAAACATGAAATCATTCTCATTCCGTTCTCTTCCCCTCTGTTACGACAATCCTTTCCTGGCTGGGTCTTAAATTTGCAGCTCTGTACAATCCCGTCCCGTCCAGGTGGAGCCAACAACGTCTCGAATGACAAATTTTAAAACTGAAAAAAATTTTTTTTCTGGAAACCTTCGTTGGATATGGCGCCGGGTGTCCCAGAAGTTCCCGGATTTCGGATGAAACTCCACGGAATGCGTTTTTTTAAGAGGAAACATGCTCCGTGTCACATGTGCAAGTCATTCCCCGAAATTTTTATTGAAAAAAAAAGACCGATTCTGCTGAAACGTTCGCGGTTTCGCCTATTTATCTATCGCCCCACGAACAATCCCTTTCGTCATCATCTACCGTTTTCTCTCTCCCGAATGTGGAAGCGTTTTGGGCCGCCTGGTAATCAGAGTAACCCAAGCCACGATTTCCAACGGATGGCATAAAGAGCAGAAGCGACTTCTTAATATCGACATCGTCCATGTGACAGTCGACTATCGACATCGTCCATGGAATGGAACTCATTCCTGTGCGAACGTGAATACTGAAGTCATTCCTTCATCACCTATGTTAAGCATCATATGATGCTTAACATGGGATGAGGAACCGTGAAAAAACTGTATTGATCCCCAAGACAAATGCTTGAGGGAAGGCCATTGCTAGGATAATACCAGCCTCTAATGACGAGGAAAGCTTTCATTACCTCCATGACTCGCGCCACGAGACAAAGAGCCGTGGAGGGCTCTATCTGAAAGAGCCAATCACGTGGAGGGATTCCGCGCGGGAAGTTTGGCTAAAATCTTTCTGAAGTTCCTCTGTTTTCTATTTGAGGTCATTCATTTATTTCCCAACGTACTCAGATAAAATTTGAAAATAATGTAACTGTGCTTTCCATCTCTGCCTGTGTCAAATATGAAGCCCGTTCGACATTCCATCCAGGAGAAATCAGCCATTACGTCATCCGACATTTTGGTCGGAATTCTGAATGGCAAAGCGGTTGAGAATAAAGGCGGAAACGAGAGACTGCCGACCGAGGCATTCGGGATTTTTTTTTTGTGGAACCACCACGGCAAATTTTCAAAATGGAACTCACACACGGCTAGATATTTAAGGCAATCCCAAGGTTCCACGTGACTTCTTCGAAAGACACTTCTTCGACTGGACGTTTCGACGAAAAAGCCTTTCGAAGAAACGACATGGAATCGATCCTAACGCGAGTCATTTTGAAAGAAGAGTAACCCATTCCTTCCAAGAAAATGATTAAGTGTATCTTCTGCATGTCTCTTGCAGGGTGCATTAGCCTTTCCATGTTCTTCAGCCTTGGTGATGCTTGGTAACGGGAGCGATTGGCGGCACGACACTGGGCTTCGCTCAAGGCTTCCGAATAACTGAACGCGGCCTCCTTTCCCCCTATGCTCAACCTTCAGGCTCACAGGTTTTCCACAGGTTTCAAAAACTGGTTTACTTGAAATTACAAATACAATATTGACTGGATCCATCTCCATTAAAAAAAATGGAGACGGATCCAGGCAATATTGCTCGTTCTGCTCGAATAAATAAAAAATCCGGAGATGCCATCGTGTTTCTGTAAAAGCTAAAGACTCGCTCATGAAACCATCTACGAGAAGATTTATTCAGGGCAATGCCCAGTTCATGATGACCTTCCTCAATAATTCGGACTCGCTGTCACGTCTCTGCTTTTTGTTTTTTTTTTCTGCAATGGCAATCCGGAAATCCCTGAATTGAGGCATGGCCTGAAACGAGGAACGCTGTCGTAAGCATCGTGAGGCAACTTGAGGAGTTTCAGAAAAGAGTCCTCTGATTTTCACGCATTTTAATATCGTAAGAATATCCTTAAAAAAAAGAAGAGGGGATTTGTCGACTCACGGCTTTTTAAACGCTATGTTTTCGGTTCCAGCTGCACGTTTTCCGAGTAATTAGCTAAATTTCACACGGAACTCATACCATGCATATTTTATTCTGATAGGGTAAATACCAATATTCACAGCTTCGAACATATGCTAAAATGAAAATGAGTACCAATGCTGCTGAATAATTTTGTATTGAAGAAGTTGAGGAAAATGTTTCCTAAATTAGTTTTTCGTATTCAGTCATGAAATAGATTGTAAAGAATTTCTCCGCCAATAATGCTGAAACGCAGCTCTTGTTCCACCAAATGTTGCTGCAACGCTTCATTTCCTCCGAAATTCGCCAAAGAAATTTTTTCTAGTAACCATGTTGAGCGCAAATTTACA